TAAAAAAATTCTTATGTGTGCATCATATTATTAAAAATAATCACAAATGATATAATTTGTACACAGCGATAATTTATAAACGATATTTTTTGACAAAAAATAAGGAGATACCATTATTTTTTGACAAATTAGTATTGTATAATTCAGTTACAAATATGTATACTAAAATAGAATGTTTTTCGTTTAAATACTTCGATTTTTAACAGCATCAGTTGATAGGAAAAGTTTTAATGAAAGAGCATTTATTGTTTTTATTTCAATTTTAGATACCGATATGGAATCGAATACGTTTTATTTATTTAGCCGGCCAATTAATATATCAAAAAGTAATCTCAATTTTTACATATGTAATACAATAAGAGGTAGTTAAAGGGGCGATAGCGCAACGAACGCATGGTTGGGCGTGACGTACCGAGGTTAAATCGGGCCATACGGCCCACGCAGAACTGCTAATTAGGAAGCGCACGCGCAAGGGCGCTGCACCGTACCGCATCGGCATCGACTGCACGATGTGCCAGCGATTCGCCACTACCGGTAAGACAAAGACACCACGCCGACTAACAAAAGAAACAAGCATTTGAACAAAAGAAACTGCTCATGTAACAAAAGAAATGGCGAGAGAACAAAAACAATGGCGTGCCAAAGGAAACGCCAAGAGTATGCCACGTTGCTTTTGGCACAAAGGGTGTTGTGTGAAATTATGTTTTGTTACGAATTCTGACGTGGCCGACACTCAGGAACGCCAATAATTGTATGTTTACATTTTACTAGACCACGTATAAAGAATTTATTGATAAATTTTAAAGGTAGAAATCACAAATATAAAGGTAAAACCATAAGATACTAACACTAAAATTCTCTCTGATCCAAGGAAGTTTAGACTAGAATATTATCTTCAATAAAACTACAACAATACCGAACATCCGGGGCGAGCAAAAAAAGAGTTTGGTGCGACTCTCGTCGCCCGATGCCAACTTCCTTCTTCCATTTCTTTGTTTTCGGGATGTTGATTCGTGCGAAGCGACGATGGAATTCATTATTAAGAGCAGCCACTCGAACTGATATGTTTCTGTATAATATCGGCATGCATGTATTTGTCTTCATAACGTGTATAAAAAAGTGATGAGGTCACAATAGGTATCTTAACATACGGCTTCGGAAAAGCCATGTTAAAAGAACTTCAATCGGGTACTAAAACTAAGTTAAGAGCCTGCGGAGATGCTGTGCGTGACAGAGATGTTTTCGTATAAGTAGAATAATTAGCGTATATGTTCACAAGATATTACTTTTATGAACCAAGTTTGGTTGTTTTACCCATTGTAAGACAAAAACATATACCATGAAAAACGACAACATATTATTATGTATGTAGATGTAAATAGTGATTTTACGAAAACTACAACGACGATGATTTCGGATTCAAGTAGAACAAAGCACAAAAGCGACATTAGACATTATTCGACGGAAGCACTTAGTTCTATTTCGGTTATACGATGTGAATGCTCTGAATATCGCATGCAGGGAATATAAACAACTCATCGGAACTCAAACGATGCCTCGTTTATTGCTCCTTCAACTAGAATTTCGGCACTTACAATAGTAGCAGTTGTACGCGGTGCGATTTTAACTTCCAAATTAATATATTTGTAAATCAGGCGTGGTCAGGGCGTAATATATGGTTGCACTTGAAACGTTCTACATATGGGGCATATCAGGGTAAACGAAGGTTTAAAGTAAGCGTTAGTCACGCTAACAATTTAGTAATAATTTATTTAATCAAAATAGACAAATTTGTAATCAAATACTTGTTTTTTTATACTTGCATCTATATTTTTAGATCTTTGAAAAATCTAGCGCCTATAGCGAATAGAAATGCCGTGAAGAATGAAGTGTGAGAAGTCTTTATTGATAATTTAACTGATAGTCACATTGTCCAGTTACTCGGTAGGTACATAATTAAATCATAATTTACGTCACCTTAACTCGTCTTAACTTACTGCTACAAGCAAGTTTTTATAAATAACTTTAGTAATATCAATTAATAAAAGCAGTAGTAGTAACTTTTAGTTTAAATATAAATATTCTTAAGTATTGCAGGGACATAGTTTTGTTACAAATATTCTATTCATTTCATTTCTATTGTCATATCACAGTCAGTCTGGTTTGGTCTTTATTTAAGGTAACAGGTTCTTTTACCTGCTCAGTGGCCACTTGCTAGGGATCTTCTTTAAGCCAAATTCCATCAATGTAAGACTCCTGTTTAACTCTTATTATTCAGTTTTCGTTACTGAACGTTTTTATAGTTTATCTTTGAGAACTTGAATACAAACGGGACTCTATTAAAATAGTTTCACAAAAGGTCCATCTCGAAAACGAATTCTCGGGGATTACACAATATTTTTAACTTTTGCCAAGTTAGTCCCCCATCTGCAACATTAGTAACTATTTACTATCTTTCAAGCCAGACCCCTAGAAAATTTAACATTTCGGTTCTAAAAACTGTCTTCTCTACATTAATAGTCATAAAATATATTTTAAACCATATCCTTTACTCTATATTCCCTGTGTTGCGAGATCCCACTTCTCAATACCCTACCAAGACCTACCCTATAGAATTTGATTTACCAAAAGAAACGTTAAAAAATCTCTTCATTGAGTTGATTTAGAAGGTTGGCTTTTTATCAGCTCAAGGAACCACAGACTAGAAGAAAATTAGACAGAAGTATTTGTTGTTATTTTTAACTTGACATCTCCAAGCAATCTTAGGCAGGCGAACAGACAGGCATAGAAGTGTTCACCTAAGGTTCTGTGTTTCGTTTCGAAGCACGGAATCCTAAATTATATTTTTATGTAAACTTTTTAAAATTTCAGTTTTTATAATTATTTTTTTAATGTCATGCATTTTACATCTAAGCAATAATAGGCAACGTGTTATGTAGAACAAAACGAAGTCTTTTTTTTTGTTGAAACAGTCAATAGAAACCAGTCTCTTGCCCAAGTCACGCGTTCTCACGTGCGCTATCAATTAAAGTTTACGATTCTATTAGGTTCTTGGTAGGAGAGGTTCTTGTATAACATCTTATACAGGAACGGGTGGTTTTCTTTTACAACTGGACTTTTAAACGACGGCTTCGGTGCGATCGTCAGTGCCATTCGAATTTCAATAAAATTTGAAGGGGGAATAAATCTTCGGAGGGTGAATCCGGCGAGTTATTGTGTGCGAGCCAGCTGACACCGCAGACATACCAATAACCCCAAAAATAATAAGCGGCATTATTGAGCTAATTGCACTTTTAGAACACATTTTTTAAATACACAACTGTCATTTGGATAATTTCCATTAAAATCAATTGAAACATCTGTTAATATAACAGCCAGAAAGTAGATATTAAATAATATGCGATAAGAAAAAGGCGTAATTTGCAAAGAATTATGATGATCGGTTAACGAGTGAGTGAGCCGGTGACATAATCGATTAACCTGTAAGTGAACCAGTTATTTTTAGATGTAGTTACCTGACTGCGCCAGAAGGAGGGTTATGTTTTTCGAGAGTATGTATTTATGTATAATTGTTTGGCACGCTCTGTGGCCTTAACGGCTAGATGGATTTTAGCTTGAGAGATGTCGTTAGATTCGTATTTACTGTGAGAGTGACACTGGGTATATCAAAAAATAAATAAAATGGCGGATTTTTGCAGCCAAATTCAAATGTTTGGCACGCCTTTTAGCCTGAATGGCTCGATGGATTTTTTCATGCAGTCGGGTGTTTTGTTTTTTCAATAATTAGCTGGTTTCTAATAACTATTCTCGCTTACTCACAGTAGGCGCAATTGTGGTTGTCATGTCACGACCAAGAATTATGATTTCAACTCTTAAATTTATATAATACTTACTGGGGATTAAACATGATAACATTAATACAGTAAAATCAAAATATTTAATGTTTTAAAAAAAAAAACAACTAACTCGTAAAGATTTTATACTGTTATAAAAATCACAATAGAGTAGGCGATATAAAATTTGAAACATAAAACTGATACTCGGTTAGATATTTATAAGCCAGTTGAGAAAGATAAATTGCGGTTATATCGTAGTATGACGAAATTGGTAGTAACGCGAGACGAAAAAATTGACGGCCGACACTTAGAAGATCAACATCTCTTGACATTCGATTCGACAGCGTGAAATTGAAGTATTCTATCGCAATATAAAATGTATTAAAATTAGTAGCGTTTCACTAACGCTGGATTCTTAAATACTTACTTATAAGCGGCTAGAAGTTACAAAGCAAATATAAATAGGGGAAATCAGGAAAGAATAACGTGGAAATACAACTCAAATAATTTAGTTGGATTTCTATAATTCTGGTTTGTTGGCTGTCAGCTCACAAAAATATGCGTGACAAATTATGTCGCAACAGACAACTAGTAGTTCTTTCATAAATAATAGAACATTCCATGTTTCAATTTATCGCCATAAATCTTTAATCTATACTAATATTATAAAGCTGAAGAGTTTGTTTGTTTGTTTGTTTGAACGCGCTAATCTCAGGAACTACTGGTCCGATTTGAAAAATTCTTTCAGTGTTAGAAAGCCCATTTATCGAGGAAGGCTATAGGCTATATATCATCACGCTAAGAGCAATAGGAGCGGAGCACCAATGAAGAATGTTGCAAAAACGGGGAAAATTAAATCCTTTTAAAAGACGCAGACGAAGTTGCGCGAGTCAGCTAGTGTATTGGATAGATATCAAACAAAGGTAAAATATCAAGCAGCAAAAGCGCTGACAACTGAACGAGAACTCAATAACGCCAGCGGACATAAAATATAAAGCAGTAGACAGTTTACTGGGTGCTTTAACAGTTTCAACGTTTTTAAAAGTAGAAAATCAACGGGTATAGGAGGCTCACGTGTAAGCTACCTGTTGTTAAAATGACCCTCTCATACAATCGTTTACGGCATCTTAGTAATGTAAGCTATCTCTACTATGAAAAGGATACATTTCTTGGAAGAAGTCGAGGCTAGGCGGCTGTAGAATGTCCAACGCTGATAAGACCTGTGGAGATAAAACGCATGTAAGAATGACATTAAGAAAATAGCCTCCAACCACATATGTATCGTTCATTGGCAATACGTGTTCGTGCACAATGACAAACGCACACGAACAAGTATTGATCGATAAAACACAGTGAAAATGAATAAATTATGAAATTGCGCGCACGGAATTATAATTATTTCGCGATAATGTCCATTTCGAACGGTATTATCATAATAAAGAGATCAGAGGCATGTAAATGTACCTATAGGTAATGAACCGAATCGAATTATTGCTAATAAATTGAAACAGTGCCTGTGTAGAATTACCAAAGGAGTAATTATAAAGGTAGGTGTGAATATAAAAGCTTCAATTAACGTCCAGCAAAGTAACTGCTCGGCTTAGAAGGTTCCGCTAATGAGAAACGTAAAGAGCAAACGTGACGCTGAGGTGCTCCAATTTAATGTTAATAAAAGCCTCCCACGTCAACTGAAAGAACCTTTTTAAAACAAACACTTTTATTTACCGAAATAAAGATGTTGACACTGTTTGTCAAGGATAAAGTCTTTTTTTTTGAAGTTACAGCTTTTAAGAAACGTGATTTCCCCGTTCTTTTTAAACTTATTTGAAGTAACATAATATGGAAGCGAGTTGCAGTTGTCTTTCTATACAAGGGTCTCAGTGACTTAATAAAGCGAGTTTTCACACGAATATTAATTATCTCGTAACGTTAGTTACACCTATACCATGTTTAGTGTTTGTTATAGCATAAAACAAATTAATTTTATGTATAGTGTGCATAGTCGTGCAATTTTAATTTTAGAAAATGTAATCCTTTTCTTTGTTTGTCAAACAAAATTTAACAGTTTTGGTTGAAGAACATGGTAATTCATTATGACCATTACTAATTAAAATCGATACCTTTTAGTAAGGAATGTACGAGTATACTAGAAAACATATGTATACTAGAAAACTGTGCTTACGTTTTCGTGTTTGAAGAAACAGAGCATCTTGAGCTCACGGAACACGCGTTTGGAGGAAACGAGCGACTGGAATACGTTAGGCAGTTTCTTGAGTGCCACGCGCCGGCCATCACGAGGATCTGTCACCGCCCTGTAAAAAAAGCAAAGTTAGAAAATTAAAAAAAAATCTGAGTCAGTGTCGCCCACCGAGGGTTCCGTATAAATTTGTAGGTACATATTATAAATAGTTCAAGAATCGAATCTCGCAGTTTTTTTCCTAGGTTTTCCCGAAATTCAGTTTCAAAAATATATAATTACTTATTGTACTATGTATTATTGTGATTTATAACTGAAATTGTAAAATGTCTTAAATGTGAAAATGTCTTTAAATAAAGACTATATTTTTTATAATTAAATTATAAATGTATGGTTTTCAGATTTTTCACTGTACTTGTAGTATAAGACGATGTTACTTTTCAACTCGATTCCTTCACGCGTTCCAGACAGAAAGACGGACAAGAAAATGAAGCTATAAGGGTTCCGTTTATTCCTTTTGAAGTACGGAACCCTAAAAAAACTTTTTTTATGGTATAAGGCGCGAACGAGCAGACGGGTGAGTCACCTGATTTTAAGTGACTAAGTATAAAGTCGTTTTAACTTCAGCGTTTAATTCTAACACATTTTCATTTCATAATGGTGGGGTTCAGCCCGAAAACTAGTAATGGTATATAAATACGCCTAGTCACTTCGCAGAACACAAACCTTTCACAGAACCCACGGCACTTGTCAAGCGGTTCGCCTGCTCAGTTTTGTTATGCAGCCTACGATATTCCCTCATACAATACTATTTATTATGATTCTTCTCGCCTATATCGCGACTCTTTCAATTGATGTGGCTTGTAGCTTTATAGAAAAGTATATCGGGTACTCATTTCAAATATTGTTTTGCTTACACGTAATATTTATTACTGTTTACGCCAGAGACGGACCCATAAGTAAGGTAAATAGCGATTTATGTTCGTTTATCTGGCCTATAAGTGTATTACTAGCTATGGAAAATATTACCGACATTATTCATAGACATATCATTTTCTTTTGTATTGTATTAATTTTATTGAAACTGACTTATAAATTCGTTTTTTGCTGTATCCAATTAAATAGCTAATGTATATAATAATCGCATACCTATACGTAGAATGTGGCTGTTCCATTATTAGAGTGTACGGTAATGTACAAAACACCTATATTCGCAAATAAAATTGATTAACAAATAAAAATAGAAATCGACAGCAGTCCCTTTTAAGAAAATATTGAAATAAAACTTATTACATTATTATATACATACTATAAGCCTTTTACTTTTACAAAGAAGTAAACTGTAATTTCGTCTACTTACCGCATAAAATTATAATAGATTATTCCTCCCAGAGATAAAATTAAGAGTTTTAATTACTTATTATGCACATGGATGAACAGTCCCTGCAATCATATTCTAGAGAAGTGTTGATATAAAAAAAATATATAAATTTAATGTTCTCTTCCATATTTTCGTATATTAAGCCGTTCCTTTTATAGTCTTAATTAGATTTTTTAAGGAAGAATATTAATAAGTCTGTACAGAACATCACCCTTATATGTTTGTAACATGATTGTTTAGTAAAAATATGATATTTTAATGGAAAAAATATCCAAGCAGTTGAACTGCGAAAGTTAATGACCGAATCCGTGAAATTATTCAATGTTTTTAAAATATATTTTGATGATCAAGAGTAAGGGTATCTTAACAAATACGTTATTACGGTGTTAAGATTCGTTGATTAATTAACTATAATACTTATTTATGTAGGTATTTAACCATACCAAAATTGCATTTATCTTCACATAATGGACAGTTCAGCTTTCAACAATACTCGATTATCATAACAATACGGTGGGGTTACAAACTATAGACTTAATTCACTCGTTCGTGACATATACTGACAATGAGCACCCATCCAAAGTTCACAATTAACATAACAACGCGATTGTCCTAACAAGGTGTAATTGTTTTTGTCACGTACGTACCAGTAAGAGTTTCAGTAAAAATCCTTTTTCTTTATTTAGAAGATTATATTAATTATTAATATTATTATTATTATATTTTGGCTGCTGCGTTTGTATTGTAAGCACTCCCACTAAGAAAGTACTTTTGTAAATTTTACCCTTAAGGGGTTTGTTTAACCTAAAGGGATGAACGGTTGTATAGAAGTTCGTCATTTTCAAAGTTAAAAACACGAAATAAGAAATGTGGCAAGAGACATATATTATTTCCTAAATATGGATGAACAACACTCATAGTTCACACACTTTTATAATCGACACTTGATAAAAATTGACATGTCGTATGTGTCCCTAAAGCAGTTTACTGAAAAACTTTGTTACAGAAAAAAAATATTTAAATAAAATTGGTTCACAGGTATATTGTATGCTGCACTTGAAGAGAGATGTGAAGGAGCACAACACAAAATAGAAACATTGTAAAAATTTGTTACATCAGAATGAAAATATATATATTAAAAACACTGCAGGTATTGTGGAGCTTCGAACGTCCCCTCGCATTTAGAGTCCCGTTAGGTCTGCCCTTGCGATTATTATCGTTTGAAAACGCAGACCCGCCAGATAATATCCGTCGCAAGGGAAATAGGGATGCCAGGCGGCTTGAGAGCAACGACCGACCCGGGCAATGCAGAGCTTCGCCATGAATCGTTCGTACAATTTGAAATTACGGATGTCGCTGATTTATTGTCTACAAAACGGACAAATAAAAGCAATCGTTTAGTATAGCGTGGTTTAATTTTAAACTATTGTCCAAACCCCACCGTGTTGTAGCCGATTTTCACAATCCTATTGTTGTTCATTCGCTTACATTGGGTAACTGTGCTTCTAACAATTGCAAACCTTACCGTGATATGACAATAAAAATTTAAGTATATTTATTGTAAATAATGAAGTTATTTACGCAAACATTAAAATCTATAAACTTTTTTTAACTTATTTTTGGTACTTTTTGGTGCCAATATCTAATGGATTTGTAAGTGCAACTGTCGATAACAAAGTTTACATATCCGTGCCGTGAAGGATGCGCTCTTTAATGCAATTTTGCGGTCTTGAACATCTTAAAAGATTTATGTGAATGTAATGTATTCACACGAACTTAAAAAAGTGAATAATAAAAAATTATTTTGATATGGACGCCGTAAAGGAGTAGGTATTATTTATGTCGCATGACGCGCTAAATTCGTTTAACTGAACAAGCATTATAAACAAAGGCAGGAAGTATCCTTGCATTGAAAACAGTAGCTGTAAGTAATTTAGTCACATTTGATTTGTGTCAAAACAGTTTTGCAAGTTCAATAACATTTATATAGGAACTTTGACATTCGAAATCAACTGCGCGGTTGGTATAATCATCGTACATTTCAAAAATTATACGTTTAAATTGTAATTTTACGGTTAACACCACGACGTACTCAACATCTAATAATTTAAAAAATTAAATGTGACATGTACATATTCTCGGCGCATCGTTTCTCTTTGTAATTTTAGTGGATAATTTGAAAATGGCAATTGTTTTAATGTTCCCAGGGCAATGTATGTTACTTCAGTACAAAAAATATTTAAATTTTTTGAGCTGTTGTGAATTATACAGCATTAAAAGGATGGCTGTTTTAAAATGTTTATAAGGCGAAACCAGTTTTATTCAGAGCTATTCAACTTGTATTTACTGTAAAAAATATCCCAACTAAAAGAACATGTTAATGAATGGTAAACCTTTAAGTAAGTAAGTCTTTACAAACAAAAGATAACGTTTAACGTAACATTTTCTTATTATTACTCAATTAAAATCAGTTAATCACATACTAAGTTAATAAGAAGTCGACGGCTTAAAATTAGTTGGCCAAATTTTTATCCTTTTTTTTGTAAGTATATACATATTTCCTAAAAGTGTTTTGATGTAAGTAGGTTCATATTAAATAATAATAATAACAACTTTACACATTTCACCACACGATTCGGCAGTCTGGTCCCAAACTAGGCAGAGCCTGTACTATGTAAACCAATCATCTGATAAACATACTCATATATTTCTATATACATACATATGATAGATCAATTACGCCACAGAACAAATGATCGTGCTTTCACACAATATTTGTCCTAGATGGGAATCGAACCTACCTCCGGCTTAACAGTCAGGGTCACTAACCACATTTTAATACGGTAAACGAAACAGACACAGTCGAAGCCACTGGTAAATGCTAGTATGTAATCCAATGTTTTATGTTTTAAACCACTTATCCAATTCGACGCCCTCGCTGCTATTAGTCAACTTGCAATGACAGTAATTGAACAAGTTAGTATTAAAAATTTAATGCAATTTGTCCAAATAGCAATGGCTTTTACAACAAATCTATGAAACGTAATTAATTGTGATTTAAATATCGTCTAGCTAGTTGGTCTAGAACTCGAGAGTTACGGTTTTAATTATGTTGAGTCCAAGGTTCAAGAATTGTAGGTACAACAGTTTTAATTCAGTATCACACAGGGGTAAACGAATCATCAAATTAAATATACGAACGTAAATACGTTTTGTTGTTTAAGTAGTTTTCGTATTTAATTAGTTTAGTTTCTTTAGTTGGTTGGGGACGACCTCTAAATCTCTCGTCTCTATTTGTCACAGAGATGGAAAGGCGTGAAAGGAGTTAGTGTCCTGAGTCTCGAGAAATCGAGGATAAGAAATTACAACTCCGCCAGGTCCTCGTGGAAAAGTGGAAGGAACGACTTGGGCAACCAACTTTTTGCCTGTCTATAAAAAAAAGTTGAGGTACTTTGATTGCCTTGCGCAACAAAAATATTGTAACCAGTACTTGCCTGTTTTCGAGTCTCCTAATGTGCCCTACTACAAATACCGAACTCTTTTTGATGGTAGCTCTTGCAAGTCTTCTAACACTAAACTAATTGTTCTCTCAGGTAATTTTATCCCTAGTTACCAAAAAAAGCGTTAACGACTTAAAAAAGGTAACGATAATTATACCATTGTTAATAATTGGTGACCCGTTTGCTTCACCGTTGAAACACAGCCGAATGTCCGAACGTACAGAGCCTACTTGTCATCCTAATCTAGTTAAATACACAGTAGACCCTGTAGATACGTAGAATATGTCCGGCTATTGTTGACGGATACAGGCAGTAAACAAGCGCTATGACACTAATTAAACACGATTCATACAAAACTAGTTTTATATACAAAGTTATGAATGTTCTATCTGAGTAGATTTATATAAATATATATGAAACTTCTGAATGACGAAATAGAGAAAAAAAAATGTGGTGGAGTAGGACGCATGCGCAAAATCATATTATGTTAAAAAATGTTGCCCCCAATGGCTGCACAGGTTATATCTCACACAATGCAACTTAACAACCTGAAATCATATTTCTTGCAAATAAATTGGTACTACTAAAGTTCTTTGTATTAAAGCTTCTGGAAGTATTACAGTCGCGGGTACTAAAGCTGGGGAGTCCTTGGCAGCAATGTTTATTAGCACTGGGGATCATCTACCATTGTATTGATTAGTAGAAGTAGAAAAGCAGTTTTCCTTTTAAAATCCCCACTAACGAGGCAAATAAGTACACAACGCCTTTTAATCATAACTTGAACAGGACACACCAGGATTTTTAGGGCAACTTACTAATTACTGGGTTAAAAAAAAAATGAAAATTTTAGATTAAAGCTACAACAAATAATTTTACAGCAGAATAAAGGTATTGTTTTTATCTTTGGATTTTTAACACCTTGGTATTTAGTTTTACAATCAACTTAAGTCCTGCCATAAAGTCGGGTTTATTTCACCACTAAAGGTCTAAAAACGGTTCATCATGCTTTACGTTTTTATATAGTTATACATAAGTCCCGGCAAAAGTAAAAAAAGGTATGCTTTGTGTTGTGGTTTGACTTCTATAAACCAAGTCGTACCCACGATTTCCGTGGGTCTGTTTAGACATAGACTATACATGTCATAAATATTTACATATATGAACAAAATAGCACGGGTTACAAAAAAGGTACATTTATTTCCCTAGCAAGTGTTATTTACGACACTTAATAAAGAATCTCTGTTTAATAAAGTCGGAGCTACTCGTAGTAGTTGGTGAGTTAGTGTCATATTAA